ACATTCGTGTTTGCTTATCACACGTGCACATATCCCCCTTTCATGAATATTCGTAGCTCCCCTTTTGATCTGGTTAGACTCTGTGTCCCCACCCATATCTCATCTCAAATTGTAATCCCCATGTGTCGGGGAAGGGAAGTGATTGGATCATGGGGGCAGTTTCCTCAATGCTGTTCTCATGATAGTGAGTTCCCATGAGATCTGATGGTTTTATAAATGGCAGTTTTTCCTCTGCTCTCACGTCTCTCCTGCTGCCTCGTGAAGATGGTGCCTGCTTCCCTTTCACCTTCTGCCATAATTCTAAGTTTCCTGAGGCCTCCCAGCCATGCAGAACTGTGAGTCAATTAAACCTCTTTCCTTTATAAATTATCCAGTCTCGCATATTTCTTAATAGCAGTGTGAGAACAGACTAATACGGTAAATTGGTCCCAAAGAGAGTGGGGTGCTACTATAAAGCTACCCAAAAATGTGGAAGCAACTTTGGAAATGGGTAACAGTCAGAGGTTAGAACCATTTGGAGAGCTCAGAAGTTAGAAAAATGGGGGAAGTTTGGAACTTCCTAGAGACTTGTTGAATGGTTTTGACCAAAATGCTGATAGTGATGTGGACAATGAAGTCCAGGTTGAGGTGGTCTCAGCTAGAGATGAGGGACTAATGGGAAACTGGAGCAAAGTTGACTCTTGCTATGCTTTAGCAAAGAGACTGGTGACATTTTGCCCCAGCATAGAGATCTGTGGAATTTTGAACTTGAGAGAGATGATTTAGGGTATCTGGTGGAAGAAATTTCTAAGCAGCAAAGCATTCAAGAGATGATAGAGCGTAAAAGTTTGGAAAATTTATAGGCTGACCATGTAGTAGAAGAGAAAACCCCATTTTCTGAGGAGAAATTCAAGCCAGCTGCAGAAATTTGCAAAGGTAAAGAGAAGTTGAATGTTAATCACCAAGACAATGGGGAAAATGTCTCTGGGGCATGTCAAGATCTCCATGGCAGCCCCTCCCACCAAAGGCCCATATGTCTAGAAGGAAAAAATAGTTTGGTGGGCCGGGATGGCCTGGGGCTTGCTGCTTGGTGCAGCCTTAGAACTTGGTACCCTGTGTCCCAGCCACTCCAGCTCCATCCAGGGCTGAAAGGGGCCAAATTACAGTTTGGGCCATTGCTTCAAAAGGTGCAAGCCCACGCCCCTATTCTGGGTTCTAGTGGTGCCTGGTTATGCCTCCTCTGGCTCAGTCAAAACAATTTAATAAGGAAAGAATAGTCTTTCAACAAAGATGCTAGGTAAACTGAATATCCATATACAAAAGAAAGAAATTGTACCTCTATCTTATGCCATACACAAAAATTAACTCAAAATGGATGAAAGATCTAAATATATTAAGGGCTAACACTACAAAATATCTAAAAGAAAACACAGGTGTAAATGTTTGTGCCCTTGGATTAGGTGGTTGTTTTCTCAGATGTGACATAAGAAACCAAAGAAAAAATAGATAACGAGGCCATTACAAAATTAAAATCTTTTGTGCAGCAAAGGACACCATCAAGAATGTTGAAAGTTAACCCAGAATGGAAGAAAATTGTGTAAATTATATGTCTGTCTCATATCTAGAATATATAAACAATGATTACAACTCAATAAAAAAAGACAAATAACAAAAATTAGCAAAGGATCTGAAAAGAAGTTTCTCCAAAGAAAACATACAAATGACTAATAAGCACATGAAAATATGTTCAATATCATTAGTTACAAGGGAAATGCAAATCAAAGCACAATGAGAGGTCACAATACACCCACTAAGATGGATATAATAAAAAAGGCATATAATAACAAGTGTTGGCAAGAATGTAGAGAAATTAGAACCCTCACACAGTGCTGGGAGGATTGTAAAATGGTGTAGTCCCTTTGGAAAATAGTCTGACAGATCATCAAATGGTTGAATGTAAAGTTAATATGTGATCTAGCAATTACACCACTACAAATATATGTAAAATAAATAAAAATATATGTCCACACAAAATTTGTACACAAATGCTCATAGCAGCATTATACACAACAGTCAAAAATGGAAACAGTTTAAATATCAATTAACTGATGAATGGATAAGCATAATGTCATATATCCACACAATGACATATTATTAAGCAGTAAAAAAGAATGAAGTAATGGCACATGCTACAATATGGATGAAGCTTGAAACCATTATGCTTAAGGAAAGACAGGTGACACAAAAGATCACATGTCATATGATTTCATTGATATGAAATATCCAGGATAAAGAAATGTATAGAGAAAGAAAGTAGATCAGTGGTTGCCTATGATTAGTAGTGATGGGAAGGTGGGGGATGACAGGAAATGAGAAGTTAAAGCTGCATGGTTCAATATTTTTTGCGGGGGAGTTGAGTTAAATATTCTATAATTGATTGCCATGTTGTTACACAACTCTTTAAGTATATTTTAAAAACACTGATATTTTAAATACTTTAAATGAATGAATTATGTGATTTGTGAATTATATCATAATTTAGCTGTTTAAAAAATTCTAATTACTAGAAGCAGAAATCAAAGTCATGTTTAACAACTCACTATTATGAGGCCTTGATTTTGAAAACTACCAATTTTAGAATTGAATCTACTCTGAAGCTGTTCTTTGATTACTCCTTCAGCATGAAATGAAACTTTCAAAAATTCAGTTGTAGAATCAACAAAATCAATGAGGTAGTCCAAACTCTTGTCTCACAGCACATCATTTAATACAGCCATCTGTTGTTGTTCTTCATCAGTCTCTCCTCTTTTTTGGACAACTTCCTTTGTAGTCACATATTCCAGGGGGAGAGGTAACCCTTTTCTTCATTCTCATTTAACTACATCCTGTTTTCTTTTAAGTTGGTTTCTAGTTTTCCATATTTCTCAAAAATTGATGTACATCTCTAGTCTTCTAAGCTGCTATGGGCCGAATGTGTACACCCAAAACTCCTAGGTGGAATCCATAATCTTCAATGAGATGGTATTTGGAGATGGGGCCTTTGGCAGGTAATCAGGTTTAGATGGGGTCATTAGTATGGAGCCCCATGATGGGATTAATGCCCTTATGGAAAAAGGAAGAAGAGACATCAAATCTCACTCTGTCTCTGCATTTATACACCATGCAAAGGCCTTGAGAAGATGTGATTAGGAAGAAGACTCTCACCATAAACCCAACAACCATGCTGTCATCCTGATTTCAGACTTCCAGTTTCCAGACCATGAAAGATGTTTATTGGTTAAGCCTTCATCATTTTCAGATTCCTTTCTGTAAAGACTTCTTAGGTGTTTGCTATAGTTGTTTGTTTTACTCCATCCTCACTTTGCTCACTTAAAAATTACACATTCTTGGGTTTTAGGTTTAACTTTGGAAACTCTTTTTCCTTCTTTATCTTGCTCATCAGGACCTTATTCAAAATCACAATATTCTCTTCAAGATGCTTCCACCTATAAAGTTGTTTGCAGCTCAAGATCACACCTTGATTTATTGAGTGAATCAAGGTTGAAGTGTTTAGGGAAAAGAAAATGCCTTTTATCTGACCATCCTCACTGGTTAGTGATTCACTGAAATCTAAGCCTGGGAATAACAATGCCTTGACTTCATTGAATTATAAAATGTTAAGTTGAAAGTGCCTAAAATGAGGAATATAGTTTTGAAAGAACCATTCTGAGGATGATGCTCTGGTTAATCAAACATTTTTACTAAGTTTATATATCATAGATAATGCATTGTGTCCTTTTATACACCTTTGGGGAGCTTCAATTTTGAATGATGATTGAATTTAACCTAGTGTCATCTGCATTTATTTATAAAAAGCCAATCAGGTACTTTTTATTTTCTTTCTGGACATGCAGACATCTCTTCAGCTTGTCTGAGTGCTTTCTCACACTGGCTTCCAAAATATGTCAGTTTCGTCCCCATTGTAAAACTAAGCTACACATAGTTTCTCCTATTAGACTCACATTGGCAATTTTTACGCAAATGGCTCAACGCTCGGTAAATACTGAAAACTTGGAGAATACTGACAACACAAGATATTCAGTTTCTTAGAAAGACGGTTCTGTAAATATGAAATACTTACCTTACCCAGAGAACTTGGCTAAGCCCTGCAGGAGATAAAGATGGAAGATTTCTGTCCTCCAGGAAAAGCATAATGCAGTAGAGAAAGGACAGGATATGACAACAGGAGACCTAAATTCCTGACTAAAATCTGCCACTGGTAATCTATGTGACCCTGAACATGAAGTAGTAGGTGAAGTCATGTCATACCATTTCAAATTATTTATATGTCAAAGAGAAATATAAATGGGACCTATCTCAAAAGGTTAAAATCTACCTAAAAAGAATAAAACAATGTAACAGCTGGAGAGCATGTGTCTGAGAATTAGAAAATGGTTTTAAAAATATAAGGGACTGTTGTTTCTGATCTAGCAAGAGGCCTGACCAGGATCAAATTGCCTGTTACTCAAGGAGGCTTTTGATAAATCTAGTGACTACAGCTGGAGCTCTCTCTGGCTGTGACTCAGGAAGGCCCAGAACACAGCTTTCCCTGCAAGACTGCTGAAGTGGTTCTGACTTTGTGAGCCACTCTTCTGTGGCCCCTAGATTTTTGAGGTGGCATCCCTTATTGGGTGAGGACCCGGGTAGAATGGGCTGCCAACCACAGGTAAGCCAGCACAATCTGGATGCACAATACCTCGCAAATCAGGGATAAGAGACCTTGGCACCAGGAGTCTATAAGCTAAAAGGCTCCCATGGAAGGGCCATTTACCGGGTCCTGCACGGTTCCAGCACGACTGGAGACTCGGTAGCATTAACTCTTTCTTGCATCCAGGACCTAACTGGAGCAGGAGGCTGGTTCTTCTGGGATGGAAAGGACCCCCAGGGACACTTCCTAACTTGGCTAGGCTGAGACTTGGCAGGTAGAGGGAGGGGGATGGCTGGGCGTAGCTGTCGCAAAGCCACCGGAAATGCATCTTTCATTTTCTGGTTGATTCCGGTTCAGGTCCACAGACCTCTACCCTAGAAGAGTGAGTCAGGGTCAGGTCTTCAAGAGGTGGAGGGATTAAATGGGGGAACTGATCTTCCAAGGCTCCCCAAATCTTGGAGCTTCACTCGCCAGACATCCCGCGCTTTCCTGACATCGCTTCCCCGAGTGGTGCAGCAGCGGAGAGCTTCGCTATCCAGAGCAAGCAGGGAGGCGTGGCCACAGAGGTTTAGTCAAGCAGAGGAAGAGGAAAGTGGCCTCGGGGGAAGCCAGAGCTGACTGAAGGTAACCAAGAAGCGGATTTTCTCTTTAGATTCGATTGGCGATCCCCTGAGAAATATCGGCGGCTCCTGCCAGTTGCAGCCTTTAGGGCTGCTGCGTAGCGGGAGAATGGGGTTGGGGGGACGTGAAACTGTTATCCACAGCGAGGCCGCCCAGCAGCAGGTTCCTACAGCCACTTCTAACCTGTGGAAGCAGCTTCTTTCTACCGGATGCACAAATATAACCCAGGGATGCTAGTGAAGCACACTCAAAGGCTGCCCGCGTTCAGAGTCCTTGTGGGTGTCCCTGTGCTTGATCTAGAAGGTGTAGTGAATCAGGGATGGGGATTTTGGAGCAGTAATGTCTACCACCACACCTAGGAAAATTTCCTGATTTTTGATGGCTTATTAACGTAACACCAATGAAAGGGTCATTTCAGCATTGAAGACAATGACTTCTGCTGACAAAAAAAAATTTAAGAGTTGTTCCTGTACCTCCTGAGCCAGAATGGTTAGCAAGGAGCCGACCTTTTTTTTTTTTTTTTTTTTTTTGAATACCTGTGGTATCCTTGAAAGAATTTTGTTGCTGTTTCTGCTGGATCACCTCAGGGAAAATCAGTTTTGAAGATATGTTAATTCAGGAGAAAGGTTACCATTACTAGGACCCTTCCCATCTGTGAAGAACCTTAATCATCTCTCTATCTTCCTCTCTCTCTCTCTCTCTCTCTCTCTCTCTCTCTCTTCCTTTCCTTCCTTTTTAACCACCTGACATTTGTATATATGTAAAGGAAGACTAGCTGTAAATTTTTCCAGTTAAAGTAAACAAAAAATTTAATACACAAGTACAAATCTGTGCAGTGCCCTTTATAAGTCTTTTGAAGAAGTACTATACCCTGCCACATCAAATGCTGACGATCTGCTTGGTTATCGGGGGAACATTTGCTTACTTTTTGTCTAATTACTTTACTACTACTCTGATCTTGGTGTCTCAGTTCCCCTACCAGCACTGACACTGTATAAAACGGAATATTAAAAGTTCCACTTAGTAAAGGCTTCAATCTAAATGAGATAAAGGGGTGTGGAAATGACTTTTCCCCTTACTAAAGAAAAATGTTTGCAATGATCTGCTGAAGTTTAGAGGAACTGAAACAGGCCCTATTTGCCAATACAGGACAGGAAACACACAGATTAAGTATTGGATAATCTCAAAGCTCATTTTGGCCAATCGGTGCCAGTTTTCTTACCCACCAGTCTTTCCTTAACTGTTAAAAAAAAAAAAAAAAAAAAAAAAAAAAAAAAAACAGGAAAGACATTAATTGACATTTGTCTTCTCTTAGCTGTGGTTTGTTTCAAGGTTAAGAAATAAAGAAAAAGAGAGAAACTTACCTCCTGAGTAATCTAACATCATGAGTGTTCTGATTCTTGGCAGTTGATTTTAAAGGAGAAGCCAGACAGGAACTTTTGTCTTCATTTTCCTCTGATAATTAATAGCAAATAAATATGTGTCATGTAGTTTTCTTCTTGACATGTACTTTTCTTCTGCTCTCCCTCAGTGCTCCTGGGAAGAACAATTCATTCATTTGCTACCAAACCTGATGCACCCTCATTTGTCAAAGTTGGCACCAGGTGGGTGTCAGTGTCACACACAGGAGTAAAACTGTTCCTAGAGCAAATGATGACAAGAGAGCTGAAGGCGGATGCATGCTCGAGCCCCCAGATGAGGGATATGTGGGAGACTAGTGGGTCTGTGAAAGAGAACCCCAGTCAGAGTAAGAAATACAACATGCAAATAGAGAGTCTTGGTCCAGAGAGCGCTTGCAGGCACTTCTGGAGCTTTCGTTATCATGAAGCAACTGGACCGCTTGAGACAATCAGCCAACTTCAGAAATTATGCCATCAGTGGCTGAGGCCAGAGATCCACTCAAAAGAGCAGATCTTGGAAATGCTGGTGTTAGAGCAATTCCTGAGCATTCTGCCGAAGGAGACCCAGAACTGGGTGCAGAAGCATCATCCACAGAATGTCAAACAGGCTCTGGTCCTGGTGGAATTCTTGCAGAGGGAGCCTGATGGAACAAAGAATGAGGTAAGAAGAAATATTCCTTATATATACAATTAAATAGGATAAAAGTGGATATATCAGGATGGAGGAGTTATTAGAGAATGAGATGGATTAAGTTGCTCTTCTATTGCCCCTTTAGGACAGCTAGGAAGGATCTGAAATGACATACATGCAGCAATAGTCAGTCCACAGGTTTCATTCTTGGCAGAGCCTTTCCTGCTCTTAAAGAAAAGAAATGCATTTTGTCTTCTTTAGAGCCAGGTTTAGGGTGAATTGACCGTGGTGGGCCTAGTCTGGCATGGGCAAGGAGAAAAGAGTTGAGTTCTTAGAAACAGAGACATAAAGGACAAGAAAGAGTTGGGAAAGGGGAGAAGATCCACAAGATGGGCAGCACTTACAGAGACCAAAGGAGAGAGAGGATAGCAAACAGAAGTATAAATCAAATTGCTCTGCAAAGAAACAGAACAAAATGGAAAGGAAAAATAGAAACAAGCATATGGAAAGAAGACAATTGCCAACAGAGAAGTGGAAGGAATCAGGATGCTGAGGGGTAGTATCTTCTGTAACAGGAACATACATTTCTGGACTGGGAGGAAAGAGTCTCCATTGCCCTCACTTAGTGGCTTGTAATTGGCCCTGCTGGTGAGTGGGAAACCAAGGTTTGCCCTTGAAAGGTGGCAGCACACTTCCTTTTTTTTAGGAGCCCACCTTAAAAATTCCAGGGCAAGGCATATTTTTGGTGTCTTATTACTACCAAATCAGGTGAAGAGAGATTGGAGCTCAACTTTTCTCCCTATTTATTCTTCCATCCATCTCCTTACCCTGTGAAATCCTTTCCTGGAGGATTGGAAACTGGCTAACTGGAAAGCCATCTTTACTCAATTCCTTTTCTTTTACAGAAAACCAAAAAATAGAAATGCACTAAAACAAGGATCCAAGTCAAGAAACCAAACCAGTGAAAGTTCCCCAGCAGGGGAACACGCTGCCTGCCCAACTTTGCTAGCAGCTTGATCCAGGGCCCGGTGCATCGCCACGGGGTTGGGGGTGGGGGTCTGGAGTAGTCAACTTTTTCTGTTTTATCCTAATTATCCCAGATTTTGAGTATCGTTCTTTATGAAAACATAGTGGTGCAATACCTCTTCAGACTTTTTATTACATCTCTAATGTCGTGCACTCCCCAAATCTGAGCTCTACTCTTGTTTCTCCCTCCACCACCACCCTGAAACCAAAAGTAAGTTCTGTGCTAATGAGGATGGGGATTATTTCTAGATCACAGTCCATGAGCTGGGAAAGAAGGCAGTGCTCTTGGGAAGAACAGCAGTGGCCCCAGGCTTCAAGTGGAAGCCAGCAGAGCCCCAACCAATGGGTGTGTTCCAGAAAGAACATTGGAATACATATTGGGTACTACAAGAACAGCTGGGCTGCAACACTCACAAAGAAACCCAGCCTGTATATGAAAGAGGTGAGGAGCTTCATCATAATTCTCTTCTCTTGGGAGCCGTGATGGTAATTAGTTCACCTAGAATGTTGTGGGAATTTTCCAGGTGCCCAGCCATGCTAGCAGCTATGATGTCTCCCAGCTGAGAGTACAGTAGGTCAATGGTGGTTGAAGGTGGGGGTCAGCCTAGGGGACAGAAATATCCAAATCACAGAATCCTGATATTCACACTATAGACTATACTCCTTTGAAACCTGAGAGAAGAAGATGGAACAGGGACAGGTGGGGTCACCTCCCCCCTCACAAGTTGCAGGAGAAATTGGGGTCAGACATGGGCTCTCAGTGGCAGAATGTGATGAAAATTGTGCACTCGGAAAGAATAATAAGAGACAAAAGTCTCCCACATTATTTACTGCACACTGGAGGACCTAAGCCTTTCATTTTCAAACCTTCAGTTCTTGCCCAGCTTATATTATGAGAGGAAAACTGATAGATTTCCTTTGATTAATTTCTCTCATGAACTGGGGAACTGGTTGTATGAGTGGTGGATATTTGGCTCTTATTTACAATAAGACGGCCACTTCTGGACACCACAAACACTTGTCAATGTGACCCATCTTTACTAAAGGCATCCTGATGTTCTGTATTTTAGAAATCAGCTCGGGATGTTTGTAAATAGGAAATAGAAATTTTCCCTGGTTCTTTTCTACCCACAGCTGTGCATGATCAACAGATGATAGCCCTTTCTGAGCAGAAAAGCATCAAAGACTGGAATATGGCATCTGAACTCATCCTGCCTGCATCCCAGGTGAGCTGTACTTTCTGGCTTTTTCAGGTGATTTGACCGTGGTCTTGTCTCTGCTTGTCCCAACTGCCTAGGACTCATAGTGTCCAGCAGGTGCTTTGAGGCATGTTAGCCCTAGATATTCTCTAGGCAACTAGGCTTGGCACAGAGGGAACTGGGCACCTCCCAGGCGATTTACTGATCCTCTTTGCTCCTTCCTTTCTGCCTTCTCACTTTTTTCTCTCTAATCTTGTACTGTTAACATCTTCAGCACCTGGCCTACCATGTAATTCAGAAATGGGTGGTAGCACAACTTCTGAAGTGGCAAGTACTAAACTATAGCCCATTGTCTTCTTTAGAGTTTGTTGACATTTGAAGATGTGGCTGTGTATTTTTCTGAGGAAGAATGGCAATTGTTGGATCCTCCTGAGAAGACGCTCTACAATGATGTAATGCAGGATATCTATGAGACTGTCATCTCTCTAGGTAAAGATTCTTCTTTCCCTTTGTATAGAAGTTAAGTAATACGTTAAGTCGTCTGTTTATGGAAAATGCACCCGTGAGAGAGTCCCATTGTTCCAACAGCTGGCTGATTCTCAACTTGATGATGTGGGGGAAATAAAGGGATTATCAGGATCCCCTGGAGAACTTTTTTTTTTTTTTTTTTTTTTTTGAGACGGAGTTTCGCTCTTGTTACCCAGGCTGGAGTGCAATGGCGCGATCTCGGCTCACCGCAACCTCCGCCTCCTGGGTTCAGGCAATTCTCCTGCCTCAGCCTCCTGAGTAGCTGGGATTACAGGCATGCACCACCATGCCCAGCTAATTTTTTGTATTTTTAGTAGAGATGGGGTTTCACCATGTTGATCAGGATGGTCTCGATCTCTTGACCTCGTGATCCACCCGCCTCGGCCTCCCAAAGTACTGGGATTACAGGCTTGAGCCACCGCGCCCGGCCCTGGAGAACTTTTTATAAATACATGCCTCACTTCTGCATTCTGAATAGAATTATTTTATTTTGACTGTGAAAGATTTTACTTTTTTTAAACTTTCATCTAAACACACCCTTTTCTAAAAAACATCAAAACATGCACATAAATGGCATTCTTGAAAATTACTACAGAAAAATTAATAATCTTTAAATCAGTAATAATATAAACAAAAGTTTAAATGATATGTGGAAAGATTTACAGGTAGGAATAGGGCTCTTAGTTTAGAAAATAATAATTCAAGTCAATATCAATAAAAGTTAAGGAAAATCTTCTAATTCCCAAACATTTTGATACCATTTTCTTCCAGCTACCACATTTTATAGACCTTTTGTGATAAGAATATTAGTGTAGTCCTAAGAAATATGACATTCAAGTGATCCTATGCAGGTCAGGTTGCCTTGTTAAAATGAGTTGGAATTCACATAATTCCAACAGTATTATTGCCTTTCGAAATTTAAATGTACAGCATATCCATGATGTTCAAAATGAGTTCCACAACTTACATTTATTTTGATCTAGTTAGAAATAAACCCTAAATTTAGACTGGTAAAAAATATATTTAACAAAGACATGGGATTGATCTAAATTTTACTTTATAGATAAGAGAAAATTACAATTCAGTATGAGGACACTTCATGAGTTTTAGCAATGCCCCATTTATAATTAGGCCCACTGTATCCTGAGTGTATATGAATGTGTGAATACATATACATACTAACATATACAAACTAATTCACACCACAAAACTCTTCAAAGATGTTGCTTGAAATGGCCTATTCTCTGGTTTGGGAGAAGTGGTATAACAGAGTCACTTAATTTTCCCTTAATCATTTTTCCCCTTTGTTTATCGTGATTCACTTGGTATGTTTCATGTGCATCATTGATATATTTTTGCAACAAAAATCCAGTAGCAGTAAGCAGAAATATTAACTTAAAGGAATACTAGGCATTCACAGTTTACATTATCACATGAAAACAGAGCAGATCAGACGTAAAGGTCTTCTGTCATAGGATATATTGTTCCATGACTGAAAATTGTGATTTGGTTCCTAGAACATAGCTCTTGCTCTAAGATGATACATAATATGTAGTTCCAGTCCTGATGAATTAAGCCTGTATTTTACTGGTTTGAGAAGGTGAAATTTTTTTCCTGTTTTTGTGTCAGAGTCTCATTCTGTCACCCAGGTTAGAGTCCAGTGGTGCAATAGTAGCTCACTGCAATCTCCGCTTTCCAGGCTCAAGCATTTTTCCTGCCTCAGTGTCCCGGGTAGCTGAGATTATAGGTGTGTGCCACCACACCTGGCTAGTTTTTGTATTTTTATTAGAGACATGATTTCACCATGTTGGCTAGGCTGGTCTCAAACTCCTGACCTCCAGTGATCACCTACCTTGGCCTCCCAAAGTGCTGGGATTACAGGTGTGAGCCACCATGCCTGGCCTGAGAAGGTGAATTTCTTGCCATAGACAAATGCAAAATGCCTCTGCAGTAGCCAGTGAAGCCCACTTACAAGGGCTTCAAGAGTTCAACTTTGAAACAGGGCAGCATGGGCTGGCTCTGCATTTCTTCACAGCAAGTCTATGTGCAAGCCACTGAGCAGGACCACTGATAGGAATCCAAAGGAAAATGGCTATAGCACTGTAGAAATCTACCATGGTAATGTAAAATGATTTCTCAATTAAATATTTTGTTATATCAAAGAGAAGTAGGCAAAGGCACATGGTAGTAAATCCAGTCTGCAGACTCCCATTACCTTAAGTATTAGTGAACTCAGGGACCGACCAAGATTCGCAATGATTAATTTGATATTTTAAAGAAACAGAAAACCTTAATGTTTTCAAGCACTTATGGCACAGACATAGGGAAGTACAAATAGCATAGCTTATATCTTCAAAAAGCTGGGCAATTTAAAGTACTACTACAATGACTCAGAGTCACAATTTTAACTTCACTCTCATATTTTATACATTTTTGTGTGTACAGGGTGTGCAAATTAAACAATTTCAATAAATATTAGAAATGTCAATTATTTTGCAAATATAAAGTGAGTAAAATCAGCTAATAATGCAATCCAACAAACACCTGTTAAACAAAGCTTTTTCCCCAGGGACTCTTTTTACTCTTTCCTTTGAACATCTTGATACTTAAATACATTTTCTTTCATTGACTTGCAGAAATTAAGCAAAAAGTGAACTATTACCTAGCTGCAAGATAGTAAACAGTAATAAGAGTTTGGAGCTGTTAAGTTGTAATAAAAAGAAAATAACAAATATAGTGAAATATGCTACAAATTATTGCTTAAAAATGCAGCCATCTGGCCTGAACCCAGGAGGCGGTGGTTGCGGTGAGCCGAGATCGCGCCATTGCACTCCAGCCTGGGTAACGAGAGCTAAACTCTGTCTCAAAAAAAAAAAAAAAAAAAAAAAAAAAAATGCAGCCATCTGAATGACAAAGTATGCAGTCCTACTAGTCTTCTGAAGTTGTCATTAGTTTATGAAAAATATGAAGTAGAGCAGAAACTCCATTTAGCTTTTACCTTTCCAACAGCTCTAGTGCTAAAGTTATATGATCATGTATGTTTGCCTAAGACCAACTGCATATTGACATTAGTCACAAATTCTATTTTATCCAGTGTTCAATCAGTGAGGCTTTATTTACACTTCTTATTACATTCAGGAAACAGTAAACCTACCCAGGCAGCCTTCTGTTGATAGTTGCCTTCTGTTGGGTGTGGGGATGTAACCACTCTGCTATGTTGTTTTTCTAGTTCTGGAATCCCAAACCAGTTTGCCTTTTTGTTACCGTTTTTAGAATTTTTGTTTTTTATCTCATCCTATTTAATGGGTTTCTTGTTGTGCCTATCAGGGAGGATCAAGGAGAAATGGGTCTATGCCATTTTGTCCAGACTGGACCAGAAATAACTTGTTCCTGTATTTTCTAAAAAGCAATAATCATGGATTGTCTCTCCATTTATGTAGCTTTCTTGCACTGGGACACAGATGGCTGATGATTCTGTTTATTCTAACAGGGTTAAAGCTAAAAAGTGACACTGGAAATGATCATCCTGTATCTGTTTCTGCATCAGAAATGCAAACACCAGGCTGCAAAGTATCAAAAAACACCAGAATGAAAATTGCCCAGAAAACAATGGGCAGGGAAAATCACGGTGATACACACAGGGTGCAGAAATGGCATCGAGCTTTTCCAAGGAGGAAAAGAAAGAAACTTGCAACTTGTAAGCAAGAGTTTCCAAAACTTATGGATCTTCCCAGGAAAGGCCCCACAGGGGAGAAACCTTTTAAATGTCAGGAATGTGGGAAAAGCTTCAGAGTTAGCTCTGATCTTATTAAGCACCAGAGAATTCACACTGGAGAGAAACCCTATAAATGTCAACAATGTGACAGGAGGTTTAGATGGAGTTCAGATCTTAATAAGCACTTCATGACCCATCAAGGAATAAAACCATATAGATGCTCATGGTGTGGGAAGAGCTTTAGTCATAACACAAATCTACACACACACCAAAGAATTCACACAGGAGAGAAGCCCTTTAAATGTCATGAATGTGGAAAAAGATTCATTCAGAACTCCCACCTTATTAAACACCAGAGAACTCACACAGGTGAACAGCCTTATACGTGTAGCATATGCAAGAGAAACTTTAGTAGGCGGTCGAGCCTTCTTAGACACCAGAAACTCCACAGAAGAAGGGAAGCATGTCTAGTGTCTCCAAACTGAGGAAAGTTACCATGTAGAGCTTCACCTTAAAAGTGATGAAAGAATATGAAATTATGAGGCACTCAATGATAGGAATGTGTTATCAATAGAACATTTGGGAAGTGTACATGCTACACTTCACAAAAAGGAATCTAAGCTGTCTGTCTTATTCAGCATTGCATCTTCTGTGCCTAGCACAAGAGTGATACATAAGGAGTATTTTATAAATAAAAAAAATGAAAGTGTAGTGATGAGATTTTTTAGCTATCTATCTATATGTATGTATCTGTTATTCAAAGCTTCCCCACCCCCAGTCATCTAAATTTTTCAGGTATCAGGTGCTCAACAGATATATGATGGTCAAGGCTCTTAGTCTCATTCTTTATTGTTTGTCAGGAGAGATGGAAAATAAGAGTACACCGAAAGTTAAGTAAATAAATTTAAAAAAAATTCAAGCATGCACACACACACACACACACACACACACACCCACACACACACACAAGAGTACTTGGGCTCTCTCAAGGGAACTCAGAGATAATTGCTAAGTTAGGGACAGTTTCAGTAGTTATCATTCTATCTACATGAACAATCAAGGCCGGGACTCAGGGAACTTTACTCTGTAACAGAAAGAGAGGATTCGATGTTTGCCCTGGAAGAAGTGTCCCATTCTCATTGCTTCTCTCCTGAGTACCCACTACCACAATGTCTTCTGTCAAGGAATTATAAGTAGCAAGGGAAGGTCTGAATGTAAAGACAGACCTAGGGACCTTGATATCTCTTCTCTTGCTGACATTGTCAATGTAGACATATACAATGAAATGATGAGGGAGGCAGTCTTGGCCCTCATCCAGCTATCAGTTTCTTTGTGTAAAGCACAAACAAGTGGCAAATGGTCTTTTTCTGACTTTCATTATGTGGACTGGACAAAGACTTTCAAACTGGTGCCGTACTACTGCAGGACCTAAAGGGAGGCCAGTCTTTATGGCTGATCAACTACAACCCTATGTGCCTGAATACTCTGCAAGAAAGCCTGGAAATTTTGCAAAACTGATTTATTGAGAATGGCAAGGAGAGCCTTGTGACCTTTTAGCTTTGGTGCACAGCTGATGCCAGGAGGGAACATCTTAAAGTGTTAGAGCAAAGTAAGGCATGTGGCTTAGAGTGATGACCCCAGTCAGAGTCAGGCCAGATGGAAATTGTTTTCTGATGTTACTGGTTTTCTTCTCTTCCTTATTGGCCAAAGTGACTATCTCTTAAGAGAAGATAATGTGATGTCAAGGGAGGTTGGAAGGCATAGATTTACATCTATATGAGATCATGGTTTATAATGTTGGCCAAGGCTTATTTATATATGTTTATTTATTATTTAATAAAAGTGTACTTTGTAATGAAAAGACATGTTTCCTGTTAAATTTAGACAATAAACCAAACTTTGTTACCAAATCACCCAGAAATGGCCAATGTTCACTTTTTTGAAATAGATGTCTTCAGATATTTTTTTTCTGAAAGAGACCAAGAGACACTTTCTAAGCCTGTTTTCAAATTTGTAAAATGGGGATTATAATTCCTACTTCTTAACACTACTGTGAGGATTAAATGCACACATATCAGCATGCCTGACACAGTGATTGGCCACAGTAGGTGTTTCCTAACCGTTCGGAACTTTCTTTGTTCTTTCTTCAGCTAGCTATTTAGAAAAGAGAATAAGCTTTGTCTATTTGTCCAGCTTTTAAGCATCCTTCATTAACAAGTTTTTCATCATTTTTAGCTGGTTTTAGGATCACTGATGATGGTCAGCATGGTAGCCTTCTGGCATGACATTCATTCTCTTGTAGAGGTGCTCCTCTCTAGTCAGCCTGAAACAATACACTGATGTTCCAGGTCAACTAGGTATACTGCTCATGTGTAACAATAACTGAAATATACTAGAAACTGCAAACTTGAGATTCCTGAAAATGGAGGGGAGGTGATGGCTAGGGATGGAACTTTTGTGTACAGTATTTATGCTATTAGGTGCTTCCTCAAGCCAATGAAGTAGAAATGAAAGAGGAAAGAGGTGACTACATAGAATGGCCACTAAAAAGAATGAAAGTGCTAAGCCAAAAGTAGGAAGTTACCTGGGAGGAAAGGATCTCATTATATTTCCAAAGGCGTGGATACTATGACTGCCCCATCACCCCCCCGGCCAGAATGATCTGAAATTGTGCCCTTGAAACTAAAAGGGGAAATTCAACTTCATGCAGAGGGCTCCATTCTCTTTTTGTGAATCCATGTTTGCTAGCATCCTGGATAGCTGCTATCATACCACCATTCAAAGAAATTTATTCTTGTAGCTTTTAGAAAGAAGGGAGGTTAACTCAAAAATTCAAGGCTTTACTAGATCAGTTGACCCAGCAGTTATTGTACTCACAAGAATCAGCAAGTCCCCCAAACAAGTCAACAAAAGAACACACTATTTTCCCAAAGCTGCTTACCCCTGTTATAAAACCTGTTAGCTTAAAAGCTTATAGTACAGGTCCTCATCTACACTGGCATTGTTACCAGCAGGGTTTGAGAGCAGGAAACATGGGTTCTATTTTAGAGATCAATTCTTTAAAGCAAGTGGCAGGAAGTGATTGCCTTTAGATGTGTCCGAGCAGAAACAGAAAATTGAGATTTGTTATTCCAAGTTCAGATACTCCACCATCATTTGAATACAAGGGCTCCAGGAAAAAGCACATTCTCATCCCTGAGGTTGTGGAACGGAATCTAGAAATCAGTGCTCCTGGCTGACTCATTAGTGCCCAGTCTGCCCTTTCACCCCTCTGACACAGTCTCCTAGGGCCACATTCCCCATGCATCCTGACTACTCATGTCATCACTTGCCAACTCAGAAAAGGAAATGTATGTCCATCGAGTCATGGGCAGTAAGGAAATAAATGGCAGAATGAGATAAAGGGAAGAGATGTCATTCTTTTGCATCCCTGCCCACCACCTCCTCAGCATATGACTAAAAGACATGAGTTCCATTGCCTTTCTGAGGACACAAGAGAAAGACAGCATACAAAAGCTCAGGAAATGGAGAAGTGGACAGATTATTTATTCATGAGACAGAGTGAAGAGGCAGAATGCTCCAACTCTAGATCCCACAGGCGGAGATGGAACTGAAGATCTGAACCAAGTGGGATGCGGTCTGAATTCATTTTCCAGTCTCTGTGCTCCCAGAGAAGATGAGCTGAGCAGAGAAATACACGAAAATGTCTGGGAGAACAAAGGACAGCAGGCTTCTTTCACTTCTGTTCATTTGTGAAGACTGAGATTGGAAATCAGGGACTCAGGGAGCAGAGTGTCATTGCTTGCTGTGTCTGAGACACAAGAGCATGTGAGTGGGTCAAGCCAACCCTGTGCCTGACTCAGGTTTCCACTTTTTCCTTCCCAGCAGACAATGACATGGCTTCTACCCATGGGCCTTGTTGGGTTCCTTCTGGCTCCTTCTCCACTCCCAAGAAGCCTCTTCCTCCTTTGTTGCCTTGTTCCATCTGCCACAGACCAATCCTGCTCGTGCCACTTTGCCACTTCCATTCTTTCAGGGAAGGAGAGGAGGAGGGGCCCAGAGACAGGGATTAGTGAGTGTTATTGTGTCCCACTGTTCCCAGAAAAATGGACACAATAACTGAGAATGGCCAGGCAGGATTGGGGGGAAAAGAATAAACAAAATGGAATCATGGCCTAGTCTTTTGTCAAGTAATTTAAAGGCTCTCCTTGCTACCTCCTCTTTATTCCTTGAAAACACTAAATAGCAGGTAGGTGGGAATGGTGATGACCATGTTGGGGAGGAAGCTGTTCCTCATTTAAAGGAGGGGGAAGCTTACAAAGGTCCATTCCTTGCTCAACAGTGAAGCCATTCTCATTCTTGTTTACTTTGCCTTCCTCTTCTCCCTCCATGCTGCCTGCTCCTTCCTACCATTGTGGGTTCAGACACGGGACACTGATGTGGAAGAAGGGACAGGGAGCCAGGGAAACTCTCAAATAGTAGCAATCATGAGATATGAGGGGAGAGGTTAGGAGCCATTTTTGAGAGCAATAGAGGGACAATATCAGCCTTAGATCTGGACAACCCAGGGAAAGAGGGGAGGGAAGGAGGCCAGGTCAGTTTGAGAAGCAGTTCTGCTCCAGGGCTGGGAGTTAGGGAGGAAGTAGGAAGGAGAAACTATGCAATGCCAAGAAAGATTTCCCTTGTCCCTCCTCAGGCTCTGGGTATCTCCGTGTGAGACTTGAGATGATTAGTTGACCATAAATGTATGATTTTCATGGCTGGCAAGATGGCTGAATAGGAACAGCCCCAGTCTGAAGCTCCCGGTGAGATCAACACAGAAGGCAGGTGATTTCTGCATTTCCAAACGAGGTACCCAGCTCATCTCAATAAGACTGGTTAGACAGTGGATGTAGCCCACAGAGGATAAGCCAAAGCAGGATGGGGTGTCACCTCACCGGGGAAGCACAAGGGATCAGGGAACTCCCTCCCCTAGGCAAGGGAAGCTGTGAGAGACTGTACCACAAGGGGCAGTGCATTCCTGCCCAAATACTACACTTTTCCCAGGGTCATCCCAACCTGCAGACCAGGAGATTCCCTCAGGTGCCGACATCACCAGAGCCCTGGGTTTCAAACACAAAACTGGGTGGCCATTTGGGCAGACAGCAAGCTAGCTGCAGGAGTTTATTTTCATATCCCAGTGGCAGCTGAAATGCCAGAAAGACGGAACCGTTCACGTCCCTGGAAAGGGGGCTGAAGCCAGGGAACCAAGTGCTCTAGCTCAATGAATCTCACCCCTGCACAACCCAGCAAGCTAAGATCCACTGGCTTTAAATTCTCGCTGCCAGCACAGCAGTCTGAAGTTGACCTGGGAGACTCCAGCTTGGTGGAGAGAGGGGCATCCACCATTACTAGGCTTGAGTAGGTGGTTTTCTCTTTGCTGTTCTGCAGCATCCGCTGGTGATATCCAGGCAAACAGGGCCTGGAGTGGACCTCCAGCAATCTCCAGCAGACCTGCAGCAGAGGGGCCTGACTGTTAGAAGGAAAACTAACAAACAGAAAGCATCAACATCAACAAAAAGGATGTCCATACAGAAATCCCATCCGAAGGTCACCAACATCAAAACCAAAGGTAGATAAATCCACGAAGATGAGGAAAAACCAGCGCAAAAAGGCTGAAAATTCCAAAAACCAGAACACCTCTCTCTCTTATCCTTAGTAACGTAAAACTGTAGTGAAACCCTAAAAAGCAAGAAACCCTGAACTATCAGATATGGGCATTTATAAAGAAGTAACAATTCCATGATTTTAGAAACATATTTATCCATATCACAACCCTTTCCTTATTGGAAATGACCCAGATATTAAATGACTATCAAAAATAATTTTAAGATTTTAATTTATGCCAAAGTTTGCCTAAAACATTTATCCCATTTGCTGTACACAATTCTTTCACTTTT